CGTTGTCCATCATCTTTAACTCTATTCTCCACCTGTTCATCAAACTGAAGGAAGAAACTGGTATACTGACTAGGTGACCCATCAAAGCAAGGGAATTCACATTTAGGTAACTCTAAACGAGTCAGTAACTTATCAGTGTTGTAACCTACCATGTCCAAACTAGGCCCCGGGTAGGATGTATTCGGATAGCAATACCAAGGATACCTCAGCGTCGGCGATGTAACCTTTTCTTCTGCGAAGGGAAGTTTTACCCTGATTTCATTATCGACANGTCCACTTCCTCTGCAACACGAGCCAACCTATCTGCTCGCAAAGCCGCCGCGGCACGCCGTTTGGCATTTGCAGCTCTTTTCATAGCCTCAGCAGCTTCTAATTCTAGTTGCGCACTTTCCAACTCCAATGCAACATAATTAGATCGAACATCAACATTACCGCATGTAGGCAACGTAGCCGGAGGTGACTTACCGGACGGGAGTGTAGCAGCAGCATCCTCACCACCTAGATCTTCCAACACCTTTTCATATTCCACTGCTCGGAGCGAAGCGCGGAACAAAGAGTCACAATAAAAAAGTCAGCACAAAGAACAAGAAAGGAGTCACTAAGTCACAAAACACTTATGCACAGTTTGTAAGTGCAACAACGACGGAACAATATGAGAAGGAATTTCAGTTTCGTATCCGAACGGAGAATTTTCCACAGATTAATTGCGAGCCAGGTCAAATACTGTTACGGCCGCCCGCTGGAACTGTCTTATACGCGTACCGTTCAATCGAACGCTTCGTGATCCCGCAAATCGCACGTTTCTCTACCACAAACCCAACGATTGCCCAAAACGTCGAACAATATAAGAACACAAGGAACACCGATCAACAGCAGAATCACGTGTAATACGGTATCTGAAGTATACAATGATACAATAAATTTCATATACGTACTTGACCGTGATCCTCAATAGGCGGACCGTACAACGGTGAACGAACAAGTTTTATTGCTCAACCGAGCGGTATCAAACGAAAATCGAAACTGTTATGTTTCACAGAAATAATAATTAATGGTACAGATAAACAAAGATCAGATTAGAGGGAGAAGAGAGAATACCACTCACAAGAATCTATCCATCGTCAAAATGTTGTTTTCATCATCCTTTA